TCTACCATGAACACTTCCAGAGATATGCAGTATGAAAAATTCGGTTTGTATGGGAGGTGCCACGCCCCCTTTTCCAATAACCACAATTTTTCTCCATGAGTATGCGATTGGTTTGATATATCTCTGTACCAAGTTGGAGTACTCTACCTTGAATACTTCCAGAGATATGCAGTATAAAAAATCGGTTTGTATGGGAGGTGCCACGCCCCCTCTTCCAATAACCACAATTTTTATGTATGAGTATGCGATTGGTTTGATATATCTCCATGCCAAGTTAGAGTACTCTACCATGAGCACTTCCAGAGATATGCAGTATGAAAAAATTGGTTTGAAGGGGAGGTGCCACGCCCCCTTTGCCAATAACCACAATTTTTCTCCATGAGTATGCGATTGGTTTGATATATCTCCATACCAAGTTAGAGTACTCTACCATGAACACTTCCAGAGATATGCAGTATGAAATATTCGGTTTGTATGGGAGGTGCCACGCCCCCTGCACCTAGCGGTATGAAATATACTTTACATCCGATTCTCATACCTACCAAATATACACAAAAAATTTCATAAAGATCGGTCCAGCCGTTTCGGAGGAGTTCGACCACTAACACCGTGACACGAGATTTTTATATATTAAATATCGCCTAAGCTTTAATCAACAAATTTTGATAAAAATTTCAACCTGTTTTCTGAATTTTTAGAAAATTTTTGGGTATGCAGTTTATACAATTTTAGCCTAGTGAAGTGCAAGTTTCAAACGGCTAAAAATCGTGTTATTTTTTTAGATTTTTTTTGGGTCGGATTTTTGCACTTTTTTCATATTAGTATGAATTTCTTATTAAATAAAATGCGGGAGACCGTCAGGAACAAAATTTCAAAATATCATCGCAAGTTTTTGTAAATTTCGGTTGTAATATTTAAAAAAAAAAAAACGAAAAAGTAGCCTCCACAAAAAAAAATCTTAAAAAACCAACGTGATTTTTTAGCCGTTTGATACTTGCACTTTATTAGACTAAAATTGTATGGGCTATAAAACTGCATACTCAAAAATTTTCTAAAAAATCAGAATAAAAAGTTGAAATTTAGACGAAAATTTGTTGATTTTTCCTAAATTTTGTATAAAGTTTGAAACTGTGATTTACACGGTTTTGGTTAAAGTTTAGACCATATTTTTATATCGAAATAACAAAAAAATAAGCTGGAAAAATATTACGAATATTAAAAAAAAAACAACACGTAGTCATTTGTTTGAGTCACTGTGCATACCTACATAAGTATGTATATGAGGAAATCCACGAAACGTTGCCGTTTTTGATACTTTTGATAGAAAATTTCTGGAAAATTTTAAAAGATGAAAAAGCTCGTAATTTACACTTTTTCTAGCGATACTCTGGAATTTTTTCTTCCTCCTTTTTTAAGGCATTTAGGAATCTTTCTTGAGCTATATATCGTCACCTAAAATGCAAAAAGACTTAACAAACATCATCGTTGAAATGCAAAAAGTCATAACTAATAAAAAATTCAAAATTCACTTTTGATTTATATGATGGATTTCATCGAATTACAACTCCCCATTTTATCAAAAAAAATTAAAATATTATTCACGGCAAATATTATTTTTGTTGCATTTTTTAATATTAATATTTCATTAGCAACAAACCGTATAATACATACATAAATAAAGGAAAACACAAATGAGTTGACATAACTTAACAAGATAATTTTTATTAATAGTTTTTTTTTTAATTTTTTAACTCAACTAGTTGTATGTATAAAATTAATTTTTTGTTAGCTGCAACCCGTTTTTATAGTAAAAGTAAATAAAGGAAAAAAACGAATGATTTTATTTTAATTATTTTTTCTTTATTTAGCTCTATGTATAGAAAATTAATATTTCATTAAGTGCAAACCGACTTCAAAAAAGAAATAGGTTACCAATTCGTCGGAATATTTTTTTATGTATGTTACCGCATAACTTTTGACCACATCAACCGAGTGTCTCAGAGGTGGTCCCATACTGATCTGGTTTTGATCCGATCATTGGATCATGAAAAAATAAACGGTACTCCTAAATTTGTATATGAGATTTGAAGTAGGTCTTGCTTTTTTTGCTTAAAAATTATTTGTTTATTTTTTTTTTTCTTTTAACTCTATATACATAAAATATATGCATATTTCATTAGTATCAAAAGTGACTTAAAAAATTATAGTTTTTTTATTGTTTTTTAACTCCATATATAGAAATATTTCCTTAGTTCCAAAAACTTTTTATGTTATACCTAAATAATTGAAAGAAAAAAATAAGATAAAGTGAGTTAAGATTTATTTTTGATTTTTTTCGAGCTATCAAGTAAAGATCAAGTGATTTTTTGTTAAATAACTCAGCTTTGCGATTTTTTGCTATAACTTTTTGAGGCATCACTGAAAAAGAGTAACGCAAATGTATTATTGCTTCAAAATGTCCTAAGAGGCCGCCACAAAAGGTTTCATCAAACTAAATTTTATTTTTGTTCAAAAGTCAAAGGTTATGTATGTGGATTTGCCCATATGGCATTATGTGACCTAATTTTTGCACTTGACGCACTTGGGCAGAGGTGAACGCTCCCTTTGCGCTATTAGCGGTTTCAAAATGAGATTTCATTGCAAAAGCTTTTCTACTCACCCAACGTTGTGTTGTTAATTTTTAAGTCTGCTATGTGTGTATGTATGTAGCAACTCAATAAAGTATGTAGATTATGCCTTGTCGAATTAACAACGATGGGTAACGATTGCCCACTTATTCAAGGGTAAATAATTCTCTCTCTTGATAATAAGGGCAAAGATGAAATTGTAATGTACATACGTATGTACATACATATGTAGGAACACAATCCCAATATGTATGCAAATAAAAGCGAAAAGTAAAAATCAATACGAGTAGAAAAGCGTCACTTAGCTTTACTGAGACTAATCGTCTTGAACTCAATGGGTGTTGTCCTGATATGGGT